GTGGAGCCACCGGGTTGGTCCCAGGCCAGAGAAGTGGTTTTCCCGGGCCGCGTGGGTGGGGGTGTCGGTCCTGCCACCTCCCGCCGCGATGTTGCCGGGACTCAAGTGCCGCCTGTGCCCACTTATTCGGTGCCCGCGGGCGGGCGCCGCTGCTGCCTTCAGCCGGGCCTACCACGGGGACCAGGTGGCCACCATCGGCTCACGGCCGGACGCCGCCTCCTTGGTGTATCAGGTAGGCCCCGAGGAAGGGCGACCTGCTTGCTGGTGGCGGTTCACACAACACCGAGGACGCCCCTTCCTCCCCGTTCGTGTTTCCTGGGGTGCTTCGAAGTGCCAGCGTGGGTTGTTCCGGAGCTGAGTCCCAGGAAAAAAATGGCTGTCTGGTCCTTTGCATACAGTACTTGGCTGCAATGCTTTGGTTCTGCTTCTTTGAATATTTTATAGGAATATTCCATTTGCACTGGCAGAGACGACGTTTGTGTCCTTTTGGAGCAGCTGCTCAGAAACCCCTAGCTCAAGCTTATCAGAACATGAGGTGCTGTTAGAGAAACCTCCCCTTCTAGAATGTCTGGCACAGTATGTGGCTTCTGAAGTGCACCACTACCTTTGCCCAGTTATTGATTGTGAGCCCTTGTTCCAGAGTTTCAGAATGCTTCCCCCCCCCCCCCCGCAAAAGCCTTCAAAGACTAATTGTTTTCCTGGAATGTATTTAACCCAAGACAGCTTGTGCTGCAAACCAAGGATGCGGCATCATTATACATTTGCATTTATCATCGGGTTAGTCTAGAGGAGCTCTCGATATTATTTCTAATTCTATGATTTTTAGAAGCATCAGGTATCACATGACTAAGGACAACAACAGTTTTGAATGAACATTTCTGCTTGTGGCGGAGTCTTAGCGCAGGGTTGTACAACCCTGAATTTTCAGATATATAAGACCCTGAAAGGGTGAGAAGGTAGAACTTCATTCTGTACACAGATTTATAATAATATTATATAATAAACTTTTAACTGCAGAGCTGGAAGGTCATCAAATCCAGCCCCTCTCAAGGAGGCACAGAGGGGATCTCCCATCCTCTGGCTGTACAACCAGAGACCCAAGCCGCTGAGGTATCCAGCAGCTTTCCTGTTGTCTTATTAGGGTTTGCCTTTAAAACAACTGATTCAGAGGGTTATACTGTAGATAAAGAGGGAAAAATATTTAATTCTCAGGATTTTCAGAATTTTATGTTCAAGTTTTTCAATAAGAAAATCTGAGGCATTTTAGATTTTACACAGGCTACTGTGTATGACATCATTTAAGAAATAAGAACATTCTTACAGAAAGATTTTATATTTTCTCTAGTCCTAGGCCATCTCTGCCTCTCCTGATATCAGAAATGTTGTTGATATCAGAAGCGTGCTGTTAGTCTGTGGAACCCCTTGCCACGGGAAGTAGTGATGGCATCTGGCCTAGATGCGTTTAAAAGAGGAATTGGACAGATTTCTAGAGGAAAAGTCCATCACAGGTTACAAGCTGTGGTAGGGATGTATAATCTCCAGACTTAAAAGGAAGGTACCTCCAAATGCCAGATGCAGGGGAGGGGGATCAGGAGACAGGTATCTAGTTGTCTCAGGTGCTCCCAGAGGCATCTGGTGGGGCTGCTGTCAGATACAGGAAACTGGACTAGATGGGCCCTTGGCCTGATCCAGCAGGGCTCTTCTTATGTTCTTATTTATGGTTGCTTTGAAACATTGATTTAAATGGCCATACATTTCAGTAGGTGTGCTTAGGAGTCAACATCCAGATAGTAAGTAGCCTTCAGAAAATTGTGCAGTTGGACAAGGGATTCAAGGCCATATCTGGCCCTCTGAGATAAACAACCTGACTCCTTGTTGCTAACTCAAGAAAGGCATGTGGAAAACTTGGTAAATGGGAAATAGGCAAATGTTTTCATTCCCTTTTCCATCTCCCTCTCCCACTTGGTACAATTAACTGGGTCCTCTCTATTCTTACTCTCAGCGCTGATTAACTTGGGGCTTTCTTCTCGTTTAATTGTGTATGAAGAGATTTCAGGAAGGTGGTGGACTCTCCTTTGTTAAAGGTTTTTGAACAAAGTTAGCTAACCATCTGTCAGGGATGCTTTAGCTGCAGATTTCATACTTTGACAGTTATTGGACTAGGAAGTTCCTTTCAACTCTACAGTTCTGATATCATAATGTACCCAGACGTACCCAACTACTGTATTCTTAATCAACCAGTCTACATGAATCAATCTGGTACAACATTCAAGGGACAGCATAGCTTCAAGTTGTCTACTGTTACACAGACAGCTATTATTTATGAAGGACATCAGACGTAAGCTGTGTTTTAGCAGCTTGAAAATTATGAGGTCACTTCCATGAGGTGCCTCTATTCCCCCAAAAATGTAATACAACAAGATCAAACTCAACAAGTTTGATCTTGTTGTATTACATTACAAACGAGTGCAAACTCAAAAAAGGAACAGTATTGATAATGAGTTCTGCCCTTCTTCGCCTCTGTTGTTTGTCGTTCTCTGCAGATTTAACAAGACACAGTAGAAGATAAATTCCAAGGCAGGGAAGATAGAAAAGCAATTTGGTAAGACAGAAGGTTTAATGTTTAGTTTCTGAAACCTAAAGGCATAGCTGAGACCTCAGGGACAGAGGTGGCAGCAAAGTTTCTTTCTCCCCTGTGTTCTCATAATTACACTTTCATTATTCACTTTTAACAGGTAATGATGGGTTCAGTTATGTTTTGATGTAGAGTCATATTTGTTTTAAGATCCAGGGTTCTAAATATATCAGGCAAAATTCAAAGACACAAGACAAAAACACATGGCACCTTAAAGACAAGCTATTATATTTTCATGTGAGCTTCAATGGATCACTTCCACTTGTGCAGACTTATGGAATAAAATACAGAATTCCCAAGTAAAACATTCAGAAAGTTCACTGGCTTTAAAAGCCCTGGGTGTGTGGTTGCATTTCATGTGCTGTAAAATATATGGCCTATGTTTGGTTTTAAGTTCTATTTAATCTCAAAAATTCACTAAATATTGGTATCCAGTATAACATCGGACACTGGCTGGACCTTGATAAAGGACAACTAATCCACATAATGAGACATAGGTGGAGATATGCCATGATGTTAGCCAACCTCAGAAACTGAGATGATACCACTTATGTTCTCAGATTCCCTCCCTCATTTTTCTCTTTGGGCAAATCCATGGGTTGCTGTTGTATCTGAATTGACAAAACAGTTTGCCAGCCCTTGAAACCATCATTTCCATTTTTTTATTTGGAAAGTATATGTCATATACAGTATATTTGTAAAATATAGCAGCATATAGTACTATGGTGTGCCATTTTAGAGGTAGCATTAGAGAACTGAGCCATGAGAGGGCATAAGGGAAATTTTGGGCCCACTGCTTTCTCATATAACATGACCACACTAAGGAGTTTGTTTGCATTTTTTTGAGCAGAAGCCCTTAATTCCACAAACCAAACTGCTTTTTAAATTGAGAGAATTTTTAAGAACATGCCAAACTGCTGCCCAAACGTAAAAGAACCAGAAATTCACTCACTGTACAGAGAGTATTGTATTCTTTCATATCTATCAACAACACATAGTGGCTAGTAGGTTGTGATGGTTGCAATGGAGAAACCAGAGACAACATGCACCACCTTAGTAACTTAATCCTTTTTTTATTATATAATAATAAAAAAGGATTAAGTTACTAAGGTGGTGCATGTTGTCTCTGGTTTCTTCATAATATAATAATTAAAAAAGATCAGAGTTTTGCTTGTTATAGTTCTGTTATGTAGTGTTCTAAAAGAAGAATTTGCTTCCAGAAGGTTGAGAGAACTTTTTGTTTTGTTGCATATTTGCACTGATGAATTTGCAAAATAAATTTGGAGTAGTAGTATTTCTTGATTCTACAGTACTTTGCTTTTGCCCGCCCAGGCCTTTGATGAAATAGCTGAGTACTGTACATTGATCACAATAAGATAGATGATGGATTGTGTATGTAGTCTGTAATGTTTTGAAACGGGTGTACTGATATATGGTATATCATAAGCTGGGTTGGAGCATAGGGTGTCAGCAGTTTGATTTTGTACTGCACCTTCTCAGCCTTGAGTAGAATGCACAGTCACAGAGCATTGGTAAATCACTTCTGTGTAGTGTATAGCTAGAAAATATTGGAAAGAGTTGCCATAAGTGCGGATTGACTTGATGGCACATTATTACAGTATTACTATATTGCCCTAACCCACCCTGACAGTAGGGAGGAATTAATGAGGGCTGAATATGTATGTCCTTATCCCTGACCAAGATGCTAGTGAGCCCTTACTTAAACCCAGAGACTCATATATTAAATTTTAAGGTTGCCATAGTTCCTTTCAGTGGTGAAACTGTTGGTAGAAATATTGTTAATAGCAAATATATATTTCTGAATTCATGTTCGGTGAGGTAATGTTTGTATAGAGGTAGTGGGAAGATTTGTAAGGGCAGTTAGCAGGAGGGATGGGTATTTAACTGGCCTGTTTTTAAATTGTCATTGGGGGCATACACCTCACTCTATACATTTATTCATCCTCTGAGTGAAAGACATGGATGCAAGCTCCATATTCTTTGTAACTTGTGGGTCTATATCTCATGATTTATTTATTTCAAATATTTTTATTCCACCTTTCTCCTTTAAAAGAACCCAAGGTGACTTACAACAATTAAAAGATAGCATTTAAGCTAAAAAGGATGAAATTAATACATTACTTTAAAAAAAGCACCACTAAATCCACATTCAGTGCAATAAAATACTACAATTAGAGATACAATTAAAAGATAGCATTTAAGCTAACAAAGGATGAAATTAATACATTATTTTTAAAAAAGCACCACTAAATCCACGTTCAATGTAATAAAATACTACAATTAGAGATGGCAGTACTGTATTTGTATTTGAATACAAATACCCCTGCACAGGTGGCAATAAAGAGGGTCCATTCACAATTCCGCTGCTGCTGCAGCAACTATTTGCAGTTAGGCACATAGTCTCCTCGAAATCTTGATTGTTTTCCCTTTCTGAAACTGGTGAGGGAAAATGTTTTAACTGGAGGATATCCCTAAATATTATATATGTGCTTTCATTTGAACTGTCTTGTATAGGTCCTAATGAGTACAATGAATTTTCAGACTTTTCTAATTTACATTTCCATATGAATATTTCAACAGTTATTTTAAAAATGCAGTACAAGAATAAGTAATTTTTTTCTGTTTTTGTTTTGTTTTGAGAGGTGTTTCTGAGACCTGCTGCTATTTTTCCGTACATGTATAGATTTGTCTCTTTCCTTCTGTTGAATGTTCCCCACCTCCCATCCTGCGCATTTTCAGTGGCTGAATTGGGGATTTGGAATACTGTGTTAAATCCATAAAACCTCACTACTGTTTAATACCTCAGGACTAGCCAGAGAGCACAGAAAAAAGTGCACACACACTTTCCTCTGACTTTTTTTAAAAAAATACTTGGCAAACATCATGCTGTAGTCTGTTAGGTGGGTGAGGGTGCCAGGAAAGCTGCAGATTTTATTACATTGATAGCCCTATAAATTAATATATTTTATTAAATAATGTCTTTCAACAAAGCGTCTAGAACAATTTGCAAAATAGATTAAAAATCAGAGAAAAAATATAAAGTACTATATGTAGCAGTGTGCTTAAAATATTTTTAAATAATTTAAAATATATTTCTTATACTTTGATTAACAACAAGCCTTCCTGAGCAGGGAATTTCACAAATGGATAGGACTACTGTACTGTGAAGGTTCATTCTCTACTCATATGCCTCTTCCACAAGCGTCAGGGACACCTGCAGGAGAGGCCCTTGGAACAGGACGCAACTGTGTGTGTGTGTGTGTGTGTGTGTGTGTGTGT